TTCTAGATATATCACTTCTCTGAATATATTACTATATGATTTTATAAAAATTGATGAAATGTATAAAGGATCACAAGAATAAAAAAGATAAACAACAGTTGCTACAAACGGGCCCATCACAAAGGCTACTGTCAATGCGTGTGTTTTACTGAGTGCTGATTGCTCCTAGCCTGAACAAAAACGAAAAAGAAAGGCCTTTTTTCAGGCAACGACGCTGAGATCCAGTCAGCATGTGGGACATGCCAAAGCAAACGTCCTTGGATGGGGGTGTGGGGTGTGGAGGTAGTCACCCTTTGTAGTGATCCCCCCCCCCCTTCCCCCAAAAGATGCATACAAGCAAATTGCTGGCTTGCACCTCGTTTGTTAGGGGGCTGCCCAGGCCCATTTGGTCACAATTAACATTTGAGTATTGATGGCAATTAAAAATACAGCACTTTAACACTGTAGTTGAACCTTAAGTTTTTTATTCTCCACCTTCAAATTGGTGGTGTAGAGTTAGTCCCTCTAAAATGTCAATTCAGCTTGTGATGTTCATTCAATATTTTTTCCTTTTTATTTGAAAATCAAAGTAAATTACTCTGTAAAATTTCAACATTGAATGTTCTTTCGTTATCAACAATTGAAAAATAAAATTCGATTCGTACAATCAATCAATCATCATTCATTTACTCCTTTTGAGAGTGTCAGTGGTAATTTCCATCATGCAGGGCACCGTCGAGGCCTGTGATATAAACTGGGTCTGTGACAAACGGGGATGCCTCTGCTTGTTGGTGTGGTGCACCCCCTGTATGACAATGTGTTTTCAACCTCAGACAGGTAGGCCTATCTGTCTGAACAGCGGCTGTACAGAAGGAAAGAGGTCTATGGAATTGTCCATTCTCGTCTTTGTCAGAGTGCGGCGAGCCTAACTTTGTAGAACGCCCACACCACCTACGAAAATAGACATTGCCTACTTTAGAGCTAGAAGTAAGACCGCCCGGAATCGATGCACATTATTTTTCAACTGTCAGCGCTTCGGACCCTAACAGCATCAGCTACGCTGTCGTCGTGGTGCAGCGTGTCCTCACTCCGAGGAGGGCTGCTCGTCACATATCACCCCCTTGCTGAGTACTGCAGAACGTTCGCTCAAGCACGGGCAACATGAATATCCATCAGGACCTTCTACCCAGAAACAAATTAAAACTTACTCCGAAATAAAAAAAACGGTCCCTGTGTCTGTGCAAACGAACGGACATACAAAAGGCAATAAAGCGTTTTCCTGTAAAATACTACTCTCTCATACGTGTAATAAAAATCGGTATACTCTAATCTGAAGATGGAATTTTACGACTGTCGACACAAACCTGGAAGTATGAAAGACCTGCACACTCTCAGACGACGGGTCACCTTCCTGCCTTCATTGGCAATCTTTTCCTAAAGAACTGTTCCTTCTAGGTTCGTGTCGGATCCTCCCTGTCATAATCTCCCCCCCCTCCCCCGCCCCCACCTTTTTAAAATAAAAAAATCAGTTCAATCGTTCAGACCCTCTAAAATACTTGAAAACTGCGCAGACAAAAATGGTTTCAAGTTTCCCCATCAAAGACGGATGCAGCAAGTACACTTATGCCGATCAGTCTTGGTTTGCCCTGACAGCTAAATTATGTTCGTTACACACACACGTATATTAAAAAGGATCCATTTTGTGTGGCATACAATACACAGGGCCCCCCTCTCTCCCAACACGTTTTTTATGCGTAAATCTATGTCATAATTCAATATATTTCTAATGTGCAGTTTATACAAAATTATAATTTTTAGTAAAGCAAAACAAACGTGTCACACTCGTTCGAGTGGTAAACAGCGACTGACGATACAATGTATTAGTATTACACATCACAGCTACACGACACACTGTGCGACAACACACCAACAAACGCTATGACAGACGGCACGACACAAGAGAAATATTACCACTATAAATTGACTGAATATGTTACCATATTTACGAAGAATTATTGTATAAATGTTGTATGTCCTTTTAAAAATAAATATAACATGGACATGCAGCGTAGGGCAAAACATCCGGGTTTTTTTTGCGTTTTCATGATTATTATTACTGTATCGATAGTGCCATAAAACTGAACTGCTATTTGCAGATGATTCTGCACTATACTTGTTTATGAAGAATGTAGCATGCTAACAACTGTGTTGATCATTTATTAAGAAAAGAAGAAGCTTCGTGTTCAGTCTGGTGTCTTAGGTTTGGGTAGTCTTAGTCATGACTGACGAGTATGTGGTATCCCTGATTTTATTTTCAGTTTATTGTCAGATCACTTAGATCTAGAATAAACGTTTGAAACAAATCTGTTTAAAAATCCCTTGCGGCTAAGAGTTCAAATCACAACTCTTTTTGTTGTTCTCTGTAATTCGAGATCGTTTTTTTTCTCTCTGTAATTCGAGATCGTACACAAACACAGTAAACACTCAGTTGATGGGATACTTCATTAGACTCAGACAAGTTCATTCTGGTAACAAGTGTTGTCGTACGTTGTTAGCCTTGTCCAATAAATTAGTGAAATAAATGACGAATCCCATTGATTCACGACCGCATTGAATTTTTGAGACTTAATTGCGTTTTAAACGAATTACTGAGCATGTACTTTACAGTTTCTTTCCAGAACACATTAAAACCAAACTGTCTGTCCGTCCGTCAGTCCGTCCGTCCGTCCGTCCGTCCTGCTCTGTTTCCTTCGTCTCCAGAAAGTTTCTGTCCTTCTCGTATCATGTTGTGTTAATACCAATGAGGTTATACAGTATCCTCCGCTGTCCCCTCCCCAGCCATGCGGGTGGTCGGAGGGCGCCACTGGTAGGTTTACTTCTTTACTTTTCCCTCTGTTGTTTCTGTCTGCCTTCATTGATGTGTCGATGTGCTTCTCTTTACTCTCTAACAAAACAAGAACTCCCCAGTCTTGTATCAATTTGCAGGTTTCCAAAACCAAAAAGAAATAGAAAGTGATATCAGACAGAAAGCCAGTTAAACCAACACCAAGTTGGGGAATAAACCCAATTGGCTATTCAGAATCTGTGGATAAGAATCTTAGAAAGGCAAGGAGGAACGTTGAGAGAAACTGCGACCACGACTTAATTTTATTGATTTAATTCGGTCTGTAGTGGTCGTTGCCAATCATGATATGTACGTGAGCGTCCCAGAGAGACAAAGATGGAGAAATTCCCCAAACTTCATATATCACTTGCAGTCGCTAGGAGTACGTTCCTAGGACTCCTACCCATGGGATTTTTGCTACACCAAACTGCAAATATTTTTTTTACTTGTTGTCTCGTGCTAGTTTATCAGTGCGTTCAATTTGTATTTGAATGTGTTGCTCTTGCCCTGTGTAACAATACTTTTCGGTAGGCTAGATCTGTATAAATTCCGGTTATTTTATTGGCATCCGGAGCATGGTTTCTGTTGTTCTGGATGTGTTTGAAGTTAATTAACATTCAAAAACATTCTTTATTTATTTATTTGTTGAATCTTTACTGAATTTGTGGAATGGGTCATACTTTTCATTTATTGCTAGCATAGATGGTTGCAAAGCCTTCCTTCAGTGTAATTTCAAAATAAGCATATTAGAAATATTGCAACATTGTCATCATTGTTAGGTCTAGTTCACCTTTTAAAGTGGGTGGTTGGTGGGTGCTCTGTTGGGATTTGCTTCTTCTTTCCTATTAAACATCTATCGTCCTTATCTCTCCTCCTTCTTTTATGTTTGTTGCTCTCTTGTAACACCTCTAATCTTCGTCACTTTTATGACCTTATCGTGTTGCAAGTGCCGTAAAACTCTTACTAAAACTAAAGCTAAACACTTTTTGATAAATTAAGCAGGGTAGTCTAAGTATTTCCTGCATAAAAAGCACATTGCTGTGGTCAAAGTATTGGTGATGTTGATGTTCACTTTTGCCCACGTTATCATCAGTCTCGCAAGTGAAAACTAAAGAGGATAAACCATATTACTTCATTGCAACAGTTAGTCCATTTTCACTTTGAACCCATTGTTTCATAAACAGAATGAGCTGATGGGAATATTTAATAAAAGCAAACAAACAAACAAAAACGAAAGCAAAACAAAAAATCCGAACAAGGAAAAACGTCATGTATTCCCAGTTTTTCTGCTGGGATGCTGTATCGCTCTCTGACTGCAAGGGTTTGGCAAGGACAAGCAGGAAGCTCCTCTTTTAATAGTAAACTAAAATGTGTTAACGAAGGTGTAAAAACATTAATAAAAGATATAATATGTTTTAATCAAGAGACAAAAGCCCGTTTTTGGATGGTTAAAAAACATGAGATTTATTGTAATATAAGGACATGACATCATAACGTTCTGTGAATCTGTACATCAGTGATCCCGAAAGCTGTGAAGCAATGCAGGATTTTGTACATTTGGCTGTACTTCTCGGTCTTGGTTCCTTACAGCTCAAGGGCAGATGCCACTGTAGATTAAGAAAAAGGAAGGGATTGTGTCAGTTCATATTAAAGTAGGCCTATCTTGTAAACAAGTGTATGATTAACAATATAAAAAACGAAGATGGCAATGTTTCCATTGATCTGTGAATAACAATAGTGGTTATGCATACATTTTGTATTTTCAACGGAATAAATTAATTCTGTTATCCTTAGAGATAACAACAAACATCTAAAAAATCAAAACACACACACTCGTATCATGTATAACACAACCACATGCACACACGTACAAACACAAATACACCCAAAAGCGCGCGCACGCGGGGACACACACACACACACACACACACACACACACACACACACACACACACACACACATACACACACGCGCGCGCGCACCGCACACACACTCACAATCAGCACCTGCACACACGTACACATTTCTTAGAGATAACACACTTACAATTAAATAAACGTCATTTGATTAGTACTCTAAGTTATCCACTCACTCAAGCAATATTAATGAAAGCGTGACTTTATTCTTTGTACTCACTAAAGTTGCTTCATGTCTCCATAATTGTTTTGTCCGAGACAGGTCATCTGAGCCAGGCATTTGGGGATCGTGATGACGTCACCGGCTTGGTACACTCTGCCATCGAAGAGACACCCTGTTGAAGAAGGCAGAGAAACACATTAATTTTTCAATGAAAAAATGTAGGCGTTTTTACATCACCGTCCACAAATAGATCATGCACAAGACA